GCAAGGCGGGTCATGTGCGTGAGAGCACATCGCCGCACTCCAGTCCGACCTTCTGCGTGAAGAAAGCCACGGACGAATGGCGCATCGTCCATGCCTTCAACAAGCTGAACGACGCTACTATCCCTGCCCAGACGCCAATTCCTCGGAAGGACATGGTGCTCGACGCAATGTCGGGTAGTGAGGTCTTCAGTGCCATCGACTTGACCGATGGGTTCTACCAAATCCTCATGAAGCTGAGCGACATACCGCTCACAGCGGTAAGCACTCCCAGTGGTATGCTCTGGGAGTGGCTTGTCATGCCACAAGGCTTGAAGAATGCTCTCGCCACGTTCAATTGCATGGTACCCCATGTGCTGCGCCCGCTCCGCGATTTCGCACCGAGTTATTTCGATGACATCTTCGTACACAGTCGCGCTGAGGGAAGCCTCAGCGCGCTTGAAGTCCACTTGAAGCATCTGAGGCAAGTCGTCCAAGTGATGCGCGAAAACAAGCTGTATGCCAACTTGAAGAAGTGTATATTCTGCGCGCCGGAGATTCCGGTGCTTGGCTGCTTTGTGAGCAAGAACGGCGTCCGCGCCGACCCCGAGAAAGTGTCGTCGATATGTGCGTGGCCTACGCCACAGAATCCCACTGAACTGCGTCAGTGGCTGGGTCTCGCAAATTATCTCCACAGGTACACGAAGAATTACGCCGGATTGATCCAGCCGCTCTCTTCGTTGTTGAAGAAAGATGTGTCGTGGTCGTGGACTTCCGTACATCAAGCCGCCTTCGACTCGGTGAAGAAGAGTCTCGCCGAGGCCCCAATCCTCGCGCTCCCGGATGACTCGAAGCCTTTTCACGTCGTCTGCGACGCGAGCGATTTCGCCATCGGCTGTGCGCTGATGCAATTCGATGAAGAAGGTCGAGAGCGTGTCGTACGCTACCAGTCCAGACAGATGAAGCCGGCGGAGCGCAACTACCCTGTCCACGACAAGGAGCTCCTTGCGATGCGCTACGCTCTGATCAAGTTCAGAGTGTACTTGTTGGGTGAGGATACCTTCGCGGTGTATACCGACCACGCATCGCTGAGGACAGCGATGAAGAGTCCTCATCTCTCCCAGCGGATGGCCCGCTGGCTTTCGTTCTTCTCTGAGTACAACTTCGTTGTCCACTACAAACCCGGCAAGAACAACATTCTCGCCGACACTTTGTCTCGGCGTCTTGACTACGACCCACGCGGTGCATTGGGTCGACAAGCTTCGCTGGATGAAGACGATGTAGACGAGTGTGCCATGTGCGAGGCGACAGGAGTCAACCTGACGAGCGTCTCCCCGGTAATGCTACTTCGCGACGAGATCCGAGCTGCTTACGAACATGACTCGACGTGCTCCAGTATCCTGAAGCATCTCCGCTCTCCCAGCGACGACACACTGGGAGCCCTTTCCCGCTCTGTACGAAACAAAATCCACCGCTATCGTCTCGAGGTAGAGCTGCTGTCGTACAGCATCGACAACTTCGATGCCTTACGTGTCGTTGTCCCTAACGACCCCGATCTGCGCTCACGGATTATCCATGAGTTTCATGATGCCCCGCTGGGCGCTCATCTCGGTCGCGAGAAGACATTTGCCGCTGTGTCACGCGACTTTTATTGGCCTTACCTGTACAAATGGGTACGTAAGTGGGTGCGCACCTGCGAGACCTGCCAGCGCGTGAAACCTGCCTCGTCTTCGCAGGCTCCCTTGCGTCCTCTACCAGTGGCCACCGAGGCCTGGCGCTCGGTGTCGATGGACTTCATCTTCGGGCTCCCACCCGATGCTACAGGACGTTCCGGTGTCTTGGTATTCGTAGACCGCTTCAGCAAGATGGTTCATCTGATTCCGGTGTCGGATGCGATCACCGCGGCAGATACCGCGGTGCACTTCCTTGATGCCATCTTCCGTCACCATGGCCTTCCCGAATCTATCGTCTCCGACCGCGACCCGCGCTTCACGTCGGCCTTCTGGTCAAAGCTCTTCGATCTACTGGGCTCGAAGCTAATGATGTCCACAGCAGCCCATCCGGAAACGGACGGCCAGACGGAGCGCGTAAATCGCGTCCTCGAAGACGTCCTTCGAAGCTACGCGACGTCGTTCTCCAGCTGGAGCTCGTTTCTGCCACTGGCCGAGTTCGCTCTGAACAACGCGGTACACGCGTCGACTGCGCTGACGCCCTTCTTCGTTAACAACGCGCGACACCCGCGTGTCCCTGCTCTCCTCGCCGTTGGCCATCCCACGGCGCCGTGTGTCTCCACTCTGGGTGGGGAAGAAGCTGCCGACAAGCCGTCTACTCCATCTGCGATGTCTCCGGCGGCTACACCGGTACTGGGCAACCGGTACATACACCGGTTGCGAATGATATCTCGAGTGTATCCCCTGTTCCCACGTCGGTCAACGCAGTGACACGTTCCGCATCGAGCCCACTTGCGCAAGCTAACTACGCGCCGAAGCATGCGGTGCGACCAATCGACTCCGCAGTCGTCTCCGACTTCGTACTACAGCGCCAAGCGGTCACCCGCTATGTTCGAGACGCACTGCAGGATGCAGTGGACAAGCAGAAGGAGAACGCCGATAGGATCGGCCGCAAGAACACGGCCACGTTTACGACAGGCGAACGCGTGCTCCTGTCGACTGAAGGTATCAGAAACTCTGCGGTTACCAACCTCGGCGCGAACAAACTCGCGGCGCGCTTTATTGGGCCATTTACGGTAATCAAAGCCATTGGTGATGCCTACACGCTTGACATTCCTACGTCACTACGTCTGCATCCGACGTTTTACGTCGGACGGCTCAAGAAGTATCACCCCGCTACGATTCCAGAGTCGCATCAGGCTACTGAACCGGAGCATGCGTCGAGCGACCTTCTCGACGGGCGCGGCGAGCCATCGACCCATCCGCACCAGGAGTCGGATCTCGAGGCCGCGTCTCCGTCTGCAAGCGTCCGTGAACCAACCTCTCCAGCATCTGCAACCGAGCAAGGATCTCTCGGTTCGACCGACGCAGCTGCGCACTCTCCCCGGTGGCCCGGGCAGTCTGATCGAGAGCCTTATCCAACTCCTGCTGGACATCCCAGTAGCTGTTCAGCAAGTCGCTCTCGCTCTGGGCAGCCAGAGCGCGAGTGCTATCGACGCGACGGCCCTCCTCCTGTTGTTGACGCTGCCGGAGATACCCGCTGGATTGTTGAGTACATCGTTGCCCACGAAGATCCACTTCGCGCTCTCAAACGTCATCGTGGGCGAGCGATGTTCCGGCCATCGGTCGCTATCGGATACGTTGGCTCGGGTTTCCTCCCGACGAGGATACGTGGGAGCCTCGTGCCAATCTCCTTCGGGACGTCCCGAATGTGGTCCAGGCGTATGAGTCCAGCCTCGCTGCGAACCACCTTGTGACGCATGCCAGCCCGCACGAAGAGAGCGACTCGAGCGATCACGCGAACGTGATCGAGACCGATGACTTGGTCGACCACGTGAACGGGACCGAGATCTGCGATTTGTGCGACCACGTGAACGTGATCGAGAACGACGACTTGAGCGGCCGCGTGAACGAGACCGAGTCCGATGCCAAGAATCTTCACGTGCAGGGCGTCGGCGTGAGCCGGCGCGATTAGAGGCGCGCACGTTCTCGGCCAACGAGCGACGATACTTCTCGATCCACCCGTGTTCTTGTTCACCGAGCGGATACTCGGCGATGTGGCTTCTCCACTCCTCGACAGTCGGACGCGATCCAGTACAAGTGCCACAACCTTCAGCGACCCTCACGTAGCAGATGCGGCGCATGTCCTCCCATGCGCTGGTGCAGACGCGCTCACGGAGCTCCGTGAGCGAGTGACCCTTGACGATCTCCTCGCGGTACACCAGCCAGCCGACGAAGCTCTCCCCTTCTTCCTGCGTCCGGTTCCAACGCCGGATGAAGGCGCACCACGACTCCTGCAATGCGCCATATGCGACACCCTCGACAGGCTTCTGACGCAGTCCACGGAAGCGCCGGAAGTGATCCTTCATCGTGTCCAGCGTGTCCGGAGCCCGCGCTCCGGATATGTCGTAGAGAGCCCATGCCCGGAGCAGGTCGTCCATCACGCGCGTGCCCCGTGCCGCTGCGGTCGACGACATCGCCGTCGTCGGTGTCCCCGTCCGCTGTTGATCCATCGTGCTGTTTGTCGTCTTCTCCGCAAGTCGAGTTATGTCGCTCCTGCGCTTCGCAGGAGATGTCTCCGTCTCTGTTTCGCTCCGCCCGTTAGCCAAGTCCCCGTTCGCCATCCTCACGCAGATTGATTTGTTCTTCGCCCACTGCTTATGTTGCGTAAGTGCAACTTTAAGAAGGGGGTAATTTAATGGGCCCTTCCATTACATAAGTAGGTAGATTTCTTTACAAAAGTAGGTGCATCAGCACACGACTAGCGTGTGCTGAAATGCTGTCATGCCATTGGCTGATATATGGGGAGCCAGACCCATTATTAGCCAATTTGACTATGACGTGTATTTGAGTGGCCAGGGCTGTGGCCTTGGTCCTAAAATAAAGTCAGAGTTGATTTTTCCTTAAACCTAAGACTCAGTCGTCCTATTGCGAGCTTCCTCAACACTATAGTGTAAGCAAGTAACGGAGTAAATACCTGGCCCGTTACACTGGTCGTCCAGCCGATCGTGAAGGCAACAGTAGGCGAGCGCGACTCCTCCGGCAACACTCTGGATCCTTTTGTTGCTGGCGGAACTTCGTTCCAAGAGATATTGCAGAAGCTTTGGGAACAGTTCAGCCCTCAAGTTAAAGGCAGGGCAGTGAAAACCGACAGGACTTGGACCATTGAGCCTGCTACACTATCCAGTTGGACCAAGCTCATGGTATTCAAGGTGAAAAAAACACATTGTCGATAGCTCAAAATCCGAGGGAGACTGGAACATTTGGCTTCAATCTATGTACGACAAAACTGTCACTCTGCTTATCTACGATTATGGAGTTGGAATCGGAAGGAAGCAAGATCGTCAGACCTTCATGAAAGACTGCATCCGGCCTGCAGAAACTGACAGAGCTGGTGCATCAGCTGAGGTCTCGCTCCGTGAGATTGTGAGACGTCTACAGGACACATGGGGGGCTACTTACGTTGGTGAAGCTATAATTTGGCGAATGTGGGCAAATGAAGTGACTCGGACGCTCGATCGCTCCACATGGGATGATGCAATACGAGCTCCACCGCCTTCACGCATTTTGAAGCTCCTCCGAGCAAGTGATTCTCGGATGCAGGAGCATCTCAATAGTATCAACCAATCAACACACATGGCGCTCGACTGTGTGAACGCATCCATTGCCGAGGCTGTTCGCCTTCGCAATGACTGGGATGCATATGGGCGACGTTTGGAATGCTTCGAAATAAGCCTTCAGACACGCAAGGCTCAGATCGAGTCGTTCCTCCACCACATCGACCTTCCCCATCCAGACGAACTGGCCGATCCGTTGGAGAACATGGAAAATGTTGAAGACATCGAGCACCAATAGATACCGGGTTGTTCCAGTACTAGCATTTATTCCTGAGTTTTTTTATTTTACTCATCAGAAGCATTCAAACTTAGCGTACGAAATCCTAAAACATCTTCATTTAAGTTTTCCTCAATCTCGATTAGATCTTGATGCATTTCTGGAACTGGTCGCGTCTCGGATGACAATGGTCCGACAGGATTGAAGGTACCGTCAACCATCCAGCCGCAGTGTTCAAATACTCGGGCCATACTGACCCTTTCAAAGCGCCGGAACGTCTCCACGATGAAAGGAATCAAATCACGATCATTGGACTCCACGTAGAAGCGCTGGAACGCCTTCTTCACGTAGCCAAACAGAAATTCAATAGGATTGAAAAACGGGCAATAACCAGGCAGAAAAATCGGTACAATTCCAATGCTTCTAAGACAGTGCACGATTTCAGGATGTCGGTGGATGGACGCCCCATCAAGTATCCACACCGAATTTGACCTTGGGTAAGGTTGAACCTCCGCCCTCTTGGAGTACGCAAAATCTTGGCAGCACCGCACGAATTGTACACGATCAAAGGTTCCCACAGTGTCGTAGTAATCAATGACACCGCTAATATTAATGAAAGCAAGCAACGAGACCCTTGGCTTTGTGGTGAAGTGCTTTCTCAGAAATAGGAGAATGGGCCTGACGCGGGGTCACTAATCCGCATCAGTGACAATTTCAAGTGATTAGAGAGGATTTGGGTTGGTGGCACGGATGCAAGTTGCCGGTGGTGGATTAGCCATGACGAGCAGCACCCCGTATGAAATGACGATGGATCTGGTTTGAGCGATGTACGAGAAGCCAAGATCCACCAAGACTTACCTCGGATCCACCCTTACCTGGATTCACCTGATATGGGATATACTATACAAGAGTGGATCGGGTGTGGATCCTATGAAGGAAGGATGGTCGGTGCCCTCTGAAGATGGATCTAGTAGCCACGGCTAATGAGGAGTCAAGATCCACCGCGAGGTACCCCGGATCCCATACTTCCGAGTTCGGATCCATGGAGGGAGGATCCCGCCTCAAGGGACCTGGATCCAGGGTATAGGTATGATGGATGCAGTGGATCTAGAACTTTCGTGGGACAATGGAGATCACAGACGGTTGCAAGATGATGTTGGATGATTGGAGAGCTCGGATCCACGGCGAGTGTACAATTACAGTGAGGTGGATCCAAGCGACCTGGATCCGGATGAGTGTACCCATAATAGGGTGACCATGATGATTACGTCATATATCCGGTGGATCTGAAGATAACACAGCTGGGATGATGGGTCAAGGGAAGAAGGGACATGCAGCCGAGCCTGGTAAGGGATTTAGCAGATGAAAGACATAGAAGGTAGAAATCCAGGCAGGTATAGGCTTAAATATCAATACAGAACCCAATTTGCACAGTATCACGCAAGTGCCTTCCTGCCCTCAAGAACCGGAACTACATTGGCCGTACGAGCTAGGAGAAGGTTGGGAATTGCGAATCTAGTGTTGGTAGTGATAACTGGATAATACATTGGCCAGATCCTACAACCTAGTGAGCTTTTCCTTTACACGCGCAGATCCGACAGGTTAACCGAATTTACTACTTGGTCGGTTACACCCTAGAGGTTCTCAACTCTCAAGATCCCGTCACAGGAGGCGGCAAGTACGACGCAAAGGAACTACAAAGGCAAGGGAACACACCCGCAAGGCAACCCTACGGCCAGATCCACGATCTAGGCTCCGGATCCATAAGCTCGAATATTCGCTTAGGATTCGGAAACAACTACGGACGCAGAGTGAAGATTTTCCACTGCTGCTCCACCCCATCCCCACGTCTCGCCAAGACACTCAAGCTTCACCACTTGAGCTCTTCGGAAGTTACCGAGAGAGCAAGATCCCGCCCTACCGACGGGTACACAAGGTGAGGAAAGTTCAGCAGAACACGGATCATCGGGGGACCCCCTCCGTTAGTCGGTGTCTGGGCGCAGTTGGTAAGTTGGATCTGGCAATCTCGCGGATTTTGATGATCCCGCTACACCACAGCTTCCGTTGAAACTCACCGCGAATTGCCAGTTATGCCCTCGAAGAGCGTAACCACGCTTCCGCAGCATTCCCCTGTTGTCAAACGATACTTCGTCCAGAAAGACAATATTCTGGTGTGTCCAATTAATGTGGCTAAGCTCTTCAGCGAAACGAAAGATGTCACGCTCTTTTATATGAATCGCGCGGCGCTCCAATACTTTCCAAGTGAGACCAAAATCGTGTATTATTCTCCATACAGATGTCTTTGATATGCTAAGCTGAAACTGCTTGCGAAATGAATCTTGAGCCTTGTTAAGATATGACAGTGGTCTCTCTTCGAAAAAATCCACAAAGCCAAAGGCGTTGCTCGTCTGAAAATTTCCTGTCAGACTTTGTTGTGATACGCTGGTAGGTTCCCGTCTCTTCGTACACACGAACCCAGTTACCAATAGTTTGTGGAGTTTTGTTGTAAATGCATGTCAGCTCTTTCCTCGAGTAGCCGAGGTAGTAGTAGCCGTACAGACAGTGGAAGACCGTGTTCTGATGGGCGTGCTGCTTAGTAGCTGCATCTTCCATCTTATTGAGTGACGCGAGGTATACAGCGACAAGCGATCTTACGGCGACTCAATCCCGCACGGCACGATGTCCACAGGGACTCAGTGCTACAGCCCACGGCGGCAAGAGATCCACGGTGACACAGGGCCACGACGACACAGGGCCACAGCAAAACGAGGCCACGTTGAGAATAAAATCCACGGATGCACGACACGAGACCACGGCAACGAGAGATCACGGCGACTCAGAAGACCACGGCGACGAGAGATCACGGCGACACAGAGCCACGGCAACACGAGACCACGGCGACGAGAGATCACGGCGACACAGAACCACAGCACCACGGCGACGCAGGGCCACACGACACTAGATCCACGGCAGCGAGAGATCCACCTTGGTACGAGGTCACAGCGACTAGAGATCAACTGCGGCACGATACCAGGCGACACGAGACGACAGCGACGAGAGAGATGCAAACGAGAGAACCCGCTTAAGTTTTTGACCAATGACCGATCTCGGCCGATTGAACTGGCGACTCGTCGAACCAGTCCGGTTCGCAAAAAATAACAGGAATTTACAATACATCTACTCCTTTAAGTAGCAAACCGTTCCCTCTGAGGCCGGGAACACGTGGACTTACGTTCACTCGGGTAGTTAATACCCTTAAGCACTTCCTCTGTGCAAGGTTGTAACGGGGTAAGAGATGCCGTCACTAGCTTACACTATAGTGTGGAGGAAGCTCGCAATAGTAAAACCAAGTCTTAGGTTTGTGTCAAATTCAACTCTGATTTAATTTGGACCAGGGCGGTACCCCTGGCCTCGTGTGAACCACTCAAACACATGTTACACCTGATTGGTCAATAAGTGAGTATGGCTCCTCACTATCAACCAATCAGATGATGACACCTTGGCACACGCTACCCGTGTGCCACTTAACCAACTTATGTAATAACTAAAGAAATATCTACCTACTTATGTAATTGGAGTTGGGCCCATTACATCACCCTCCTCTTTAAGTCTCGCTTACGCAACATAAGCGCACGAAACACATATGAAGAAAACTCGAAAACCGACGAGGCGGAAACATCGGAGACAGCGCGAAGGGTGCGGCGCCAGCGCGACGCTGGCGGTGGTAACAAGGGCAAGCCCAGGATCGACAGGTGCGCCACGAGCTCTGGATGCACTGCGAGGACCGGCACTGCGCCTCTCTTCTCCCAAGACATACATCGACGAAGTGCCCAGCGCACATGCGGCTTAGAAGACTCCAAGCTTGAGGCACTTGCATCACAGACACGAGGAGCCTTCACGAATTCGACTTCGTGGCACAGTGGTCAATGCATGGGGATTCCAGTCCGGACGCCAGGGTTCGATTCCCACCAGGCGCATCCACTCACGCACACGCGAGTGTTGATTTTGCTGCCAGAGCGTAACGGCCTCGGACATCTCGAAGACATGAGATTTGTCGATGGAAGTCAACCACTTGAGTAACCCAAGTGAGCATCACGTTGTCACCACTGGTATCACCAGAATTAGGTACTTGTTGGCCACCGTGTCGCCGCTGTTAATCGAAGTCATTTCGGCGCAGTCGGTGTGTCAGGCTGACAACCCACTGGTCGGCGGTTCGATGTCGCCGGTGGTTTCGTGTTTTCATTCTTGCACTGACAAGTTGTTGCAGTGTTCGCCGCGGCTCGCGCCGACGTTGCCCGCATCGGTGCTCGGCGTCGTTGTCGCCTCCTCGCACGGGTCGTTTGCGTGAGTCTTCTCGATCTCGCTCATGATCTTGGCGGAGTGACCCGCGAAATTCTTCCTCTCAAGCAGCTTGGTCTCATACTCGTGGACCACGTCCGGAACGTCGCGGAGAAGGTTGGCGGGGGGCTCCCACGTATTATGCTCTGGAGGATAACCAAGCCAACGTACCAGATAGCGGCACGCGGTCGGGGCCGCGCGAGGATCACGACTACTGACGTTGCGCTGAGCAGGCGAGTTGTGGGGATCCTCGTGGCCAACGATACGCACCACAATTCAGCGCGCGTCACCCACCGAGTCAATTATCGGTGGTGGACCTTCACGGTGATACGACGTACGCCCCGTACGTCCAGGGCGAGGTAGAGACTGCTTCGAACCGTGCGTTGGACGCTCAGGTTGGGGCTGAGCGGGCGGAAGATCGTGCCTGGCGGGCTGAGTAGATCGCGTCGGAGCTACGTCAGTCGAATCGGGAGCTGTTATCTCGCCTACGGGGATTGGAGACGCATGTGCTTGGCTCTGCCCAGCAGAGAGATCGTCCGCAAGAGCGGGCGCCAGGGGCTGATGACTTTCTGGCGCGTCAGGCTCGTCGGGCTGGTCGCCCGACGCATTCTCCGTCTGCCGGCTTGGGTCAGGAATCGTCACAGGAAAATACCGCTTGAGTCGCCCGACGTTAAACGGTGGAT